TATAGTCAAATTTAAAAAAAATATATTACTTTTATGACCAGGTTAGCGGTAATTTGTCAGCCATTTTTCATTTTTGCATAACTCTCTTATAGGCGCATAAAGGCAGCAGAATTTTTATAAAGTCGGAGCTGGAGGTTCATATTTTCGAATGCACTATGTGGTTCTGGGCAAGTAATTATACATTTTTACTTATATTCCATTTATTATTTGTAATTACAAAGCTTGAGAATTTGTAGGTTAAAAAACGCTATATTTTTGGCAAAAAATCCAAAAAAGACATTTTAAAGTTGTATTTGTACTCAACTTTATCCCTACTATAAATTTTTGACACTAATTTTCACTATAGACCAGGGTCGATAATTTTTGAAACCAAAAAAAATAACAGTAGGATGAAACCCATTGGAAAAGGAGAAGAATATAATAAAAATGAAAGGAAAAATAAATTACGGGCGATCTGACTTCGGGAAGTGGGAGGGGGGGGTTTAAGGGTAAAAAATGGTTTATCTCGATTTCCGTCAAAACTACAAGTCCTATGGAAAAAAGTTAAATGGCAAAGTTGTAGGTAATAAAAGGATGTACAACTTTTGTAATTACAATTTTTTTACATAACCTCAAAATTTATGTGAAAAATTCAAAAAACCAAGTTTTTGGTTTTTTATTTTTATCTTTTTCAAAAAAATTTTTTTTTCCACGAAATTTGGTGAAAACTTACCATTTTATGTCCCAAATACACTGTAATTTATTTGATTTGAAATATTTATTATTTCGCCTTATTTTGACTTAATATCAAAAAAGCACCCTAATTTTCAATCGAAAATTCTCGCGTCAAAATATCAGCTTTTTTCAAAAAGTCGGTGTGCTTTTTGTTCGTTGAAATCTCTACTTTCTGATGGTGTAAAAAAAATATACATTACTATGGTAAATGTTCTCAGAAAATGCAAAAAATATTATAATGAATAACGAAAAAAACTCGAATTCGAAAATTTATTTTAATCATTATGTACAATTTCATCAAAAAAATGGGATTGTTGCAATTTTTTTTTTGGTTAAAAAGTTTACTTATTAAATTCTAATAACATTTATGTCAGAATATCTCATAAAATATAAAAATACATGTAAATAATACTATTGAATTTAGATACTTCATTCTGATTACGTTATTCATTATAATATTATTTGTATTTTCTGAGAACATTTACCATAGTAATGTATATTTTTTTTACACCATCAGAAAGTAGAGAGTTTATCGAACAAAAAGCACACCGACTTTTTGAAAAAAGCTGATATTTTGACGCGAGAATTTTCGATTGAAAATTAGGGTGCTTTTTTTATATTAAGTCAAAATAAGGCGAAATAATAAATATTTCAAATCAAATAAATTACAGTGTATTTGGGACATAAAAAGGTAAGTTTTCACCAAATTTCGTGGAAAAAAATTTTTTTTTGAAAAAGATAAAAATAAAAAACCAAAAACTTGGTTTTTTAAATTTTTCACATAAATTTTGAGGTTATGTGAAAAAATTGTAATTACAAAAGTTGTAGATCTTTTTATTACCTACAACTTTAACATTCAACTTTTTTCCATAGGACTTGTAGTTTTGCCGGAAATCGAGATAAACCATTTTTTACCCTTAAACCCCCCCCTACCACTTCCCGAACTCAGATCGCCCGTAATTTATTTTTCCTTTAATTTTTATTATATTCCCCTCCTTTTCCAATGGGTTTCATCCTACTGTAATTTTTTTTCTCTTTTTACCATTTTTAAAGGCTTCTGCACTGGTCTACTACTATATTTACGCAACACCTTTTTTACTCGAAAGTAAGAGTATTTTTGACAATATTTTCATGTATTTGTTATAACGCAACGCATACGCAGTAAATTATACTTCGCAGTTTAAAATCTTAGGTAATAATCTGTCACGAACAATACAGAGGCATCAAAATGCGTTAATAAAGTGTTTTAAAAATTAGATTTTTGCCGCGTAAATTTGCCTCTCAGACCACTGTGCGACGGTCTTAGTCTGCCACTGTTTCCATAACAACCATTTTTGATAACATAAAAAATGCCTTAGGATTTTTTTGTAATACTTAAATTATGTACCATCGCAAGCTTTTTACCAATTCCCAACAAATTAAAAAAAGTTATTAAATATTGATTTTAAAAATGTGTGATCGTGAATATAAAACTGGCTTGTTCTATTTTTTAAGTGTTATTTCGAAAAACGACCCGTTTGATCTATGGTTTAGGGCCGGTTTATTAATGTTTATATACAAAGTTTCGAGGGGTAAACCACTTTAAAATCTTAGAGACCAACATTCAATGTTAGTGGACGTTGTGTTGAGATTTTTTTCCTTATCAGTCGTTATCAATAAGGAAAACTTGCTTAATCGGTGCTTAATCAGTGCTTAGCGACGCGTTGTACATGACTACCCTTGTTATTGTTATCCTTAGCCGTTAATTCGTAAGCAATTTTTAATTTAAAAAAATCAGTGGTTTACCCCTCGCAAAGTTTATATACAAAAGTGCTCTTTTAGTTCCACCCTTACTTCTTAAGAAGTCCCATAAGCCAACTGAATGGCTTGTGCGGGTTAGGGGTAGGAACGGACCGCGGGCTTAAAGTCCCCTCCGAAGGACTATTACACAATAGGACAACACAAATAAACAGCCATACCCCTGGTGGGATTCGAACCCACGACCTCCGGCTTGTAGTCAGCTCTGCACTAACCACTCGACCACCGTCGGCGGATAAAGTTGCAGTTAGTTATCTGGCAGATAATCTCCATGGATACCATTGTTCTCACAACGATCGATATGGAATTTAACTGTCAGATAGACTAACTAGAACTAAACCAGAGATTGATAAACCGGCCCTTAGTCGTGTAGAAAAAAAAAGATAGAAGTAAATCCATAGATGACTCAATAGACGTCAAATAATAAAATTAATTTAGCATTTCATACAAAGCAATCACGATGTATTAATTATATTAATTATAATCGCACAGAATATTTACTGATTATTTATTAAATTTTAATTGAACGAAATAAAGCAGCATTTTGACAGAGCAGTGTTTATTTTTAGTTTAGGATATCTCTGTACTCACCACAAAAAGAGTCACCTACTCCTTATGACATAATCTATTATTATTTTATACTAACAATTACACACAAACTCTTTCAATGACTTAACGCAAAAACTAAAACTAAAGTCTTTTTTCTTAATTTCACAGATGTAAATTCGTCAATTAACTCACTGAAATCGATTTTGCGCACTCTTTTTGATAGATAATAATGATAAATTGCTGAATCTCTCTTGTTCTATTTCAAATAATTTTTGATTAGTTTCAGTTCCGCAAACGATCTTTCATATTTTAAAGTGGTAACTGTAATTGTCAAAAACATGAGAATAGCAGAGTAAATACAAATAAAAAGAATAAGTCACGTTGATGAATTTGTTAGAAATTAAGATTGCAAGACTTAATAAATATTTAAAACATTCTTCAAACCTGCAAACCATTTTTTAAGTTGTGATGATATATAAGTGTCGATCATCGGATATAAAATAGTAACTCGGAAACGCTGTTGAAGATCATCAAATCTTTCATCTTGAGACAGTTTGGATAAAGACTGCTTTTGTCAAAAAAATTTCCACTTGTAACAAATCTTTGTTATATCTTTCTGAAATGAATCGAACCTATCACTCAGCTTCTTGATACTCGACAATGCATTTTGAAGATCATCATGTGTAAACAGCAGATCGATCTTTTGAGCAACGCATCGTTTCTCTCAATTGAGTTTTGGTTGTCAGTATCATTTGGATCCAGCATTTAAGAATCTCTTAAAACTTTTGTTTTAAAGCAGATACCGCATCATATCTCCAAGAAAAGCAAATTTAAGATTTTCAAAATTTTTAGATTAAATACGGCGGTTTTCGAGGCCTTCTCACAGGGCCGCACCAAGTGTTTCTGCCGCCGGGTGCAATTAAAAGCTTGCCGCCCCTTAAAGGAAAAAAAATTTAAAAACACTATTTTAACATAATAAAATTATTATGTATGTTTTAGTGGTTTTTCGGGATCTGCTCTGTGTTGTCGGTTTTTGGTTCTTAAAAGAACCGTATGTCTGACGACGTTTAGGTATAATCTTCAGGTTTTATCTGCTGGGCTGCTGTTGCTGCTCTGCTGCGAGTTAGACGTGTAACGTGTAACATTACAAAATAATTTACTAGAACTACCCCTAAAAGCTAGGTTTTGCTTAGCTAAAAATTTAACAACCGATATAATTCTTTCTAAAACAGAACACCATCTTTTCTGTTCACTGTTTGTAATTGAATCATTTTGTCGCAACATTTAATCTGATCATTAGAACTTTCATGTCGGCTTAAGGTTCGCGATAAATGTTGCCAATCTCGAAATCCATCTAGCCCCAATGAACTAGATGCATTCCCAAATAACTTACATGGGAAACAAAACACAGAGTATATTTTTTAGAATATCCAAGTGCGTTGAACGGATTCACCATTTGGTAAAGTTTTAAAAAAATATTTATTTCAATAACTACTAGTGCTAGCGTCTTTGGGATAAGTTGTTTTCTTATTTAGTAGGTTACCCTTTTCTACTAGCATTAACCTTATTTTGTCAGATAGTAGACTATGCACTTGGATCAGAATCAATTACAGTATTAAAAAGTTTACCGTCACTTTCTGAACAAATATTTTCTAAAATGCCGCCCCTCGATAGTTGCCGCCCGGGCGCAGTGCACCCTTTGCACCCTGGGTTGGCTCGGCCCTGCCTTCTCATAGTCGTAGGTACCCTCTGTTGGGTGCATACCAAAGTGCGTATCTTTAAAATATAGTTGATATGATGGTAGGTAATTGGAATTAATGCTCAACCACCATCGATAAAAGAAAGTCGTATAGGAATTTCGCCGCGCGTATCTAAAATTGCGCTCGAGGCGTTCAGCGTCGAAGGGGGTCACCAGCAACAGAATGTAGTTCTCCGCAGGAGCGGCCACCAGTCAGCATAGAGAATTCTTGCAGGAAACATCTAAACAGTGTTGCCGGGTCTTCGTCGTTGTACACCACGATCTTCTGTCAGTCACAAACGGTATCCGTACACGTGCTCAACAGTTTTTATTTGAAATATTGAACGGGTGCGTTTCTCTATAATTTGTTTTTGTGTTGTTATATACAATGTGTTTTGGTTAACACTGGCTTTAGTGGTGGTTTTACATTTGTGGATTATTTATTTATTAAACAACTGTAGTAAGTATTTTATATCTGCAATATTGCAATTAAAGTGTTAATTTATTGCATTCTGGTTTTCTATTGCAATGCATTCATTAAAACTTAATAGGTACCTGTTTTAAAAATGACAAATTTCCCGTAGATTTATTAACAGTTAGCAACAAACTTGTTGTACATTTAAATATCTTTAATACACATTAATTTCTAATTATCTAGTTTGTGCCATCCAATTCATATTAATTCAAGGTCTGTTGTTTCCTGAAAGTGTTGTAATATTTAAAGAAATACTTTTAAGTCAAAGAAATTATGTTTTAGGTAACCATAATTCATTTATGTTATTTCTTATAGATATACATGAAAAGTTATATTCCTTTTGTATTCTTCGCCAAAAGACAATAGTTTATTTATGTCTATTAGGGTGGTTCTTATTTGACCGATGTCGAAATTTTAATCGTGCCGCCCCCTCATTTGTTTTTAAAAAATATAAAAAAAAATGTATCCTAAATTTGAATGTCCTAACTTATTTCCTTTTATTTCCTGTAAAAACGAGAAGTTTTCCAGATAGAGGATTTTTGCCTTTAATGTATTAATTTTTTAAAATTACTATTAATCTATGAAAAAGTATAATTTTTTGAGAAAATTTAGGTAATATAAGTTACTTTAAAACAAAAAAAAAATCATATATTTGTATCCTAAGGTCTTTTTAACTTCGCTCGATTATTACTTACAGTTTTTTACATAGGGGATTTTTGCTTTAAAACGCAATAATTTTATAAAATCATTAATAATTAATGAACAATTCTAATTTTTTGAGGATATGAAGGGAAAATATGGTACTTTTAAACAAAAAAAAGAATTCATGTATGTCCATAGTCTTTTTTACTTCATTCAATTATTACTATTATTGTTATTTTATTGAAAATGGCATAAAAGGCAAAATATCAGTGATAATTTGCATTTAATGCATAATTAGTGTGTTTTGAACGTAATTTTGTACTTTTCTAATGTTGGTGCTACCTAAATATCTTTTAGGCAATCTTAAAATATTGTTTTATAAAGATTGTCTAAAAGATATTTAGGAAGCACCAACATTAGAAAAGTGCAAAATTACAATTATGTAAATAATGAAATTGATTTTTAGATTGTTTTTGAACAATTTATTGTTAAAGAAAGTAACATGGTTAAAATGGCAAAAATAAACAAAATAAATCCCAGATAATTAGGTTTTTGGTATTTTAAAAATTGTTTATAACAGTCTTTTTTGCGTCGGGAAATGCTTTTCGAAACTCTGACACAAGCTGTACCTACAATAACCTATTATAACACCACAAGCAAGAAGATTCTTTCAGCGATGGGATATCGATGACACATTTTTAAAAATCGATCCGACTATGTGGCCTCAGGACGGTTTAAAAACTGTAACTCAGCTGAGAATCGTTAACGATGCTGCCGAAAGAGCTGTGCATTTATTTGACAAGTATAACTCCAGAAACAATTTGTTGTACAGCTTGTGTCAGAGTTTCGAAAAGCACTTCCCGACGCAAAAAAAGGCTGTTGTAAACAATTTTTAAAATATCAAAAACCTAATTATCTGGGTATTATTTTGTTTATTTTTTTGCCATTTTAACTATGTTACTTCCTTTAAAAATAAATTGTTTGAAAACAATCCATTTCATTATTTAATTGTAATTGTAATTTTGTACTTTTCTAATGTTGGTGCTCCCTAAAGTTGTATTTTGAAATTATTTTTTGATAGGAACCGAGATTTTGGTTCCCCTGAAATGTCTGTCAATTCTTAAAATTTTCCTGAAACTTGGTCGTTTGGTTAAAAAGCGACCGCACATTTTTAAAGGTAACATTTTGGTTACTGTCAATTTTTGAACTAAAATTAGGTTATGTGTCTGTAAACAAATAAATAAAAACCTCGATTTTGTTATAACAATTTATATTTAATAGGTAATTAGACAAACAAGGAGGAAGCTTCCTACATTTTAAGTTTTAATGTGTAGATTATAACTTAAAAAGTATGCATTTATATTAATACATTAAATATTTGGTTTTGTAGTTTGTAATTTGTTTTCACCCATAATAGTGAAATGTGCTGCTTCGGTTTTAATGAGTAAATATCATCGATAATTAATCATACCACGAGTTATATTTAGTGAGAAAATATAATGAATTTTAGGATTTAACGAATTTTTAGTTTGACATTTGAAATTAAAATGTGCTTTAAAATATAAAAAGACTTTAATAAACCTTATTTATTCAAACTCACCTTAATTTTATTATCGTTTACACCAACTCATCGATCTTTTAGAGTTTATAATTCATTATTTTATTGATATATCGTCCCCGTTCTGGCAAAAGTAATTAACTCCATTTTTGTCTAAAAGTAGTTGACTACCTTCGTGATCATAGAACAATTATATCTGTAGTCTAGAAAAACTTATTAAGAGCAGTATTGTATTTTTAGCATGCTAAAAATACAATACTGCACTTAATAAGTTTTTCTAGACCACAGATATAATTGTTATATGATCGTGAAGGTAGTCAACTACTTTTAGACAAAAATGGAGTTAATTACTTTTGCCAGAACGGGGACGATATATCAAAAACAGAATTTAAATGACAACAGATGTCAAATCAAAAAAACGTCAAAATTCATAGTAACGTGTAAACAAGATGATAAAAATTATTGCCGCTGTGATAAAATACGTCACTATGGAATACTGGCATTTTATTGGTTCTAATATTAATGAATTGTATTGTCATTGCGATAAAAGTATATACCTACCTATAATATATTAAAACCATTGACAATTTTGATTATAATCCCTTAGCCTTGAAATAATTGCTAAAAATATATATTTAATTTATTACTCATTGTTTAGTATTTTTTTATCAGGAACCTCTTCATCTTCACTGGAACTAGCTTCCCAGTTGATAATTTCAAAAAGAATGCTGCTGGATTTATTTTAAAAATATTATGACAGCATTCCAAAATTAGTTCGTTTCTATCAACCGCTAACCGACCAAAATCGTGGTATCGGTCATCAAAAAATAATTTCGGAACATAACTTAAATATCTTTTAGATAATCTTAAATTATTTGTTTTATAAAACAAATAATTTAAGATTGCCTAAAAGATATTTATTTAGGTAGCACCAACATTAGAAAAGTACAAAATTACGTTTTAAAGCACACTAATTATGCATTAAATGCAAATTATCACTGATGTTTTGTTTTTTATGTAATTTTCACTAGTAATACCACTAGAGGTCAAATTATTTCCGGAAATTTTTTCGAGCTCATGAATATTTTGAAAATTATCCCGAGTCGAAGACGAGGGATAATTTTCTAAAAATATTCATGAGGGAGAAAAAATTTCCGGATTTAATTTGACCTCGTGTGGTATTCGGTAAGAAAATTCCACACCAAATTGTGTTTAAATAATTAAAATTTATTTTTTGATTTAACTTGACCTTGACTTGATTATTTAGTTACCATGGCAACTAAGTCAACCCCAACCTAAAAGTTATTTCAGTTTTGAAGCTGTCAAGCGGCACGACGTAAAAAATGTGAAATTGTCTGCTGTAATGATCAATCATCGTGCAATGACTTATTTACCCGCATTATTAGAGGATTGTGGCTCCTACTTGAAGAAAGAAAATTTGTTTTGAATTGTTCACGAATATTTGCATCTTAACTATTCAAAACTCAAAGTGCTAAATGGAAAAAAAGGTGAATAGAATAGTGTCTAAATATTATATATATATTTCATTAGACATAGACATTTAATTTATTTCAAGTCCTGCATTTTCGCCATTAAGAAGAAAGGAGGTGTCCAACGAATATAGAAAACATCTAAACTTTGTAATGGAAATGTATCAAAATTATCATGTAAACAAATAAAAACCAGATTGTCAAACAAATATTCTGTCATTATAAACGTCAAAAAATTTCCAGTATAATTCGCTGTTGGGTACCCACGAGGAAAAAATTTCCACTAAAATTCAACCGTTGCCATGGTGATCTATCAAAAATACACGTTTTGATTGGTTAAAAATTACAGGTGTGGAATTTTCAATAAAATAACAATAATAGTAATAATTGAGCGAAGTAAAAAAGACCTTACGATGGACATACATGAATTCTTTTTTTTTTGTTTAAAAGTACCTTATTTTCCCTTCATTTTCTCAAAAAATTAGAATTGTTCATTAATTATTAATGATTTTATAAAATTATTGCGTTTTAAAGCAAAAATCCCCTTTATGAAAAACTGTAAGTAATAATCGAGCGAAGTAAAAAAGACGTTGGGATGAAAATAAATGATTTCTTTTTTTTTTGTTTAAAAGTAACTTATGTCCTCTACATTTTCTCAAAAAAATATACTTTTTCATAGATTAATAGTAATTTAAAAAAATTAATATATCAAAGGCAAAAATCCTCTATCTGGAAAACTAGGTCATTCAAATTTGGCATACAATTTTTTAATATTTTTTAAAATCAAATGAGGGGGCGGCACGATTAAAATTTCGACATCGGTCAAATAAGAACCACCCTAATGTCTATAATACAATAAAATATTAATTTTAAGTTATATTAAAAATTTTAATTTAAAATTGTTCACAACATATTAATGAATGTGTGGTACCTATTCATGAATAAGCAGAGGCGTAGTGAGCTTTTTTGGTGCCCGAGGCAAGTTTGTTAATTTTCGCCCCCCCTCCTATCCTAAAAATAGGGGAAAACAAAACTAATAGAATAAATTGACAATTTTTTTAAAATAAATTCTTCAAGCATACATATACATATTTATTAATCATAGTATACAGAAAATTACTTTTAACATTCACAATTGAATTTTTCATTGCAGCAAATTCGTCAATAGTCGAAATCAATTTTTTTGGAAACTTCGTTTTCTATCGATAAAATAGCCAAATCCGACAATCTTTCCTGGCCCATTGTTGATCTTAACTACGGTTTCGCAAAAGGATCGAACGGTCGATTTGCAAGGG